ATCCATTCACACACTGGTGGTGATGAGCTATGATGTAGCCACAGCTGCCCTGGGGCACACTGACAGAGGCGAGGCTGCCGAGCACAGGCGCCACCGGTCCCTCCGACCACCACCAGCAGGCAAGGGGGGTTAAGTGTCTTGCCCAAGGACACAACTGCAGAATTCTCTGTCCGGAGCCGGGATCGAACCCGCAACCTTCTGATTACTGGACAACCCGCTCAACCTGTTTAGCAACTGCTGCTGCGACGGGTGCATCCAGCTGCTCCGTGGAACAAGCTCGTTACCTACAGCTCACGACCAAGTTTCTGGTTCAGGAAGCTCCAGGGCAGAACAGTAGGGATCAGCCCCTCTAAGTCTGAGGTCATGGTTTTCAACAGGAAGAGGGTGGATTGCCAACTCCAGGTGGGAAGAGGTTTCTGCTCCAGATGGAAGAGCAGCCCAGGCTGAAGCGGGGGACTGGTAGGTGGATTGAGATGAGAGAATCAGCAGCAGCGTGAACACTTTACTGGTCTGTCCTGGTGAAGAGAGAGCTAAGTCAAAAGGCAAAGATGTCCAACTATATTTTAACCCGTGTTAAAATGGTACTTACGTTATTGCTGCATTGTTGTTTAGTTACCGGTGGTCCTTTATTCAGTCATGATCTTGGCTCAAATGACATTTTCCGAGGAGAATAAAGTGCTTCAACTGATTCTTTAACCAATTAAAAGTGCTTTGATCTCCACACGAGGCCACGGTGGTCGTCCCTGCTGTCGCTGGCCAGACTGAACTGGAGGAATCTGCAGGGATAGAAACAAAAAGGCATGCAAAGTGGCACCAAGGTGGCGTCCTAATTAGCAAGGAAAATGTTTGTTTCATGGTTTGGGTTAAACATGTATACGCGGCGAGTCCTGCTGTCAGCATGGGAACAAGGAAGCTACATTATGCAGTCGTCTCACACACCCCCACCAGTGCCAGCAGCAGCAGTCCTGTCTTCTCTTCCAGAGAATCAAATAAACATGGGAGCTTTTACTGCAACGTCTAGGAAAATGTGACTTCAAGGAAGGATCTGCTGAGCACATCAGGTGCTTGTAGCCGTTTAAGAGCCTCCTTTCCTTTTGGTCATAAAACCTCTGTGTGAATCAGGGGGGATGAATGCATTTGACTTGCAAACAGTTTTGGTAAATCAAAAGAAAAAAGTAATGAATTATTTATTTCATCATGACAACATGATAATTAAATGCATTAACACAAATTAGTCCTGTTGATTTATTCAGTTCCTGTGTTTTTGTGAAGGAATGTCATCTAGATTGTTTGAGCAGCAGCATCTTCAGTCCCACACACAACCCTGGAAATGCGGGCTCCTGGTCCAGAAACACAAAAGGTCCATCGGCTCTGGTAACATAAACAAACCTGCATCATCATTTGCCTTTTACATACACTCATAATGTGGTATTAGATGTACAAGCATTCAAAAGGTTCATTTTGTTAGAACAAAGTGTCTTGCCCAAGGGCACGCCGACTGCAACAGATGGGGCTTGAACCTGCAACCCTTCAGATACGGGACGGGCATTTAACTCCTCTGCCACCATTGCACCCAGTTTATGCTAACTGGTTGCTGCTCGATGGTGCTCTGCTCAGTCCACCCTAATGTGGGGGTGCAGTATCTAAAGGCCTTGTCCACTCAGACTCATTCTTCTGTAGGAAATGACTTCTGCACGTTTAAATGAGATGTTTCTTTACTTTTGCTAACATTTATTTTATTTTGTTTACATTAAGTGTGGAGTGTGCTCTATCTGGACCTGCTAACATCTCCTGTAACTCAGACATCAATCTCATTTGGAGGAGGGATGCCGATGTGAGGTTATCGCTCTGCCACAAGACCTGTAATGCTTCTAACAGCAAACCCTCAAAAAGTGGCTTCTAACCAATGTTCGTCATCATTTCTCATGTGTAAACAAAAACAAACTCCCTGGACCGATGTGAGCAGCGTAAGATATGTGCACTCTGGCCCATGGACGTAATTTTTTTGGGGGACAGGGGGGCATGTCCCCCCCCCCCCCCCCACCTTTTCCAAAGTCAAGTTTCGACCCCTGCACTTTTTACCATCCAAAAACTATATTACGCTATATTAAATTGACACTGGTTGAGCTCTAGGACCAAGCGGGAAACAACCGTTTGTGTTGAAGCCTGTTTCCCATTAGAACATACTGTTAAGATACCCCCCCCCCCCCCCCCCCGCCACATTCTAAAGTGAAAATTATGTCCATGCTCTGGCCACACTGGTTCAAAAACCCAATCTTCCCAATTGTTGTGGCTTATTAACATAATCAATGCAGCAGTTTCTGTTAGGTTGCTTTTAAAGAGGTCCTTCATTGAGAAACCATTTTATACTCATTCTGTCTGATTCTAACGGGTCACTCTGAGTTTTTCATGCAGGCTGAACATGAAAATAGTCTCCTACACCTATCTCCTGCATTAGCTTCAGATAGAAAACAGACGGTGAAACTCTAGGATTAGAAAAGCCTGACAGATCTACGTCACACTGTCACTAACATTCATGGACTCACCCATCTGGACTCACGACGGGGAAGGCTGTTGTTGGCTTAGCGTCCAGCAAACAGCAGAGAACGTCTGGGCTAGTAGAAGCTACCTGTTAGCATTAGCAACTCCACCACACAGCAGAACACCTCCAGGCTTGTGTTATTTGTGGAGATAAAACATCAAAGTTGGAGAGCAAACAGAGTCAGTGGTAGAGTCGTGTTGCTGTTATCCAATCAGAGGAGTGATGCTCAAATATCAGGAAATAAGACTCTAAACCCTGTCGTCTGAAGCTTCTTTCACCTCTGGACTAATACTCTGTTCTGAAATAGGTGCACCAGAGCTTTTTTTCCCGAGAGTACGACTTACATTCATTCTTACTAGAGACCACTGCAGATGTGTTAAAATATGCGTGAAGGACTTGTTTAAGAGAGAAAATAACTTGTTTCTCACTAGTTATGTGGTCAGGGTGAGCTAAAGAACTACCTCACAATCCCAAATAAACTCGTAAATATTCAAATAAACATTTTGTGTACTGAATGTGTTTGAAGCAATGTTGTTTTGAGACAGTTTCCTTGCAACTTGATCTTTATGTCATGTTCCTAGTTAGTGGAATGTAAACTTGACTTTCATTAAACATGTGAATTTACTGTATCAGCTATTGTTGGTGAGAAACCGTCCAGATCCGTCCTTAAACGTAATATCATTCCTGTTCACTCTCATGAGGAGCTGAGGGGACCTTTCCTTAGGTCAAAAGGGAGGTTACACTTGGACAGATACCCTGTCCATCACAGAGACAACAAGCAAGACATTTGAACAGACTGCCTCAGATGTCCACAACCCCACTGCAGCCCAGCAGAGACAGAGTGACTGACATTAGTCCACCCACATTAACGATGCTCCAGATTGGATCACGCAAGATAAATAACCTGCCCTCAAGGATGGCAGAAGCTATTGAGTCTCATCCTTTTGGTGAAGACTTTGGTCTGAATTAATGGACAACAAAATCTATTACTTAGATCAGAACATTCAATCAGTGGATTAATTGCAGGTAATTTAATGCCTCAGCTGGAATTGATTCTTTTTTTTATGCAGCTGTGAATGATTCAAATGGAAGTAGAGAGAAGGAGGAACCCCGCTCAATGTGTTTGGTGTAAAAACAGGACATACTTCTGCTAACAGAACAAAAGATTCAACTTGGAGGAGTGCACTTCCGGTAACAAAAACATGCTTATTATTCACCAAAATATGCAAACTGCACACATACGTAACGGGAAAAGGCTCATCTAAACGACAGAATCCACCTTTCCTCTTCAACAACACAACATGCCAACAATAAGCAGCAATTAGCCGCTAACTGAAAAGCCTGTAAAAACATGCTAGAGCAACAGTGCAATACAGTCCTATCCACAGCAGCAGCTGTTTCAATTACAGCTGGAATATGGAACATTTACATAAAAAGCTGTGTCTTTTCTCCCAGCTCACTGGCCTAGTGGCAGAGTGTCCGCCCTGGGACTGGGGGATCAGAGCTCAAATCCCGGTCGGGTCATACCAATGACTTTAAACCCAATGGCTCCCTGCTGGACACTCAGCTTTGAGGGATTGGATTGGGGGTGATCAAACTACCAAATAATTCCCGAGTGCAGCTGTGTCTGCAGCTCACTGCTCCCCATGGGGAACATGAATATATTTCATCGTATTTCTAGTGAAAAAAAAGTTATTTACCAGAAACACAGATTAGAAAAGTATTCACTTTATGAATGTATGAAAAATAGCCTTATCGCTCATAATTCTAATAATTAATTCGGAAATTTGCGGTTGTGACGGCTGAACTGATTTCAGATACGCTATCCACATATCACCACTAGGGAGTGCCAAATCACCATTCTTATGAGTCCCATAGACGGTAACAGCAAAAGTGTTCTATAAATGTGCTTAATATTCACCAATATATGCAGATTCAGCATAAAAAACAAACAAAGCTAATTTCATGGTTACAGTTTTTTTTCAGTCGCTAACAAGCTCTCACCCAAACTTCAGATAATTGTTCAAAACTCTTAACACAGATTCACTCCTACAAAACACACTTGGCCAAATGGAAAAATTTCTTCTCAAAAACACATTTTGATAAACATAACTCTTCATTTCAAAATAGAACATATCTTTCTTTACACACACTATCTTTACCCAAACACTGGACATCTGGCTCAAAGTGAAATTATTCTGTCAAATAGTAGAACTTGTTTTCACTTCACAAGATACATTCAGTCAAAGTACACCAGGTTTCAAAATACTGGCAATTGTTGTCATTACAAAAACCGCATAGAGTTTTATGTTTCAGTGTTAGAAGTATTTGCATGCAAAACATGCAATCCACCATTTTTACACTACATTTCTTGGTTGTGAACTGTATGTCCACATATAATGTGCACATTTCAAAGCATTCCAGTAAAAAGCTAATCCTTTTTTCTTTTACTGTTTATTTCAGGAGGTGCAGCAGAAATGTTTACAGTATGACAGAACAGAAAATGTTCTACAGTATTGCTTGTAGTAAACAAAATATCAATGAAACAAACAAAAGCATTCTGAAAAAAAATAAATAAAAACGCACAAAGCCCAGATGAAAAGGAGGCAACTACAAAACACACAAAATTACTGTAGCTAATCTCTGTGATCTTCAGGGTTAGGCCACATATTTTCATCAACATTGCATCTGACATCATCCAAAGCCATGCACATGGGATAAAACTGCCTGCTATGTCGGATCCATTCTTGGCAATCATCAACCGTGATGTCCCTGCAGCCAGCATCCATAGCTTCCAGGAGGGACGTGTGGCTGATGGTCGTAAACTTCCACCTCCATGCAGAAAAGAACTCTTCTATGGGGTTGAGAAAAGGTGAATAGGGTGGAAGGAGGAGACGTACTAGTCTTGGGTGGGCTTCAAACCATGCTGTAATGGCTTGCGAATGATGGAAAGCCACATTGTCCCACGTGATTACAAAGGTCCTCATGATTTCACCCTCCTGATTCTGCTCTGGAACCAGGTGCAGGTGGAGATCATTGAGAAAGACAAGGAGGCACTCGGTATTGTAGGGTCCAACCTGGCATCTGTGAAGGAGTAATCCTGCATTTGCAATCGCTGCACACTTTGTAATGTTTGCCCTTCTCTGTCCTGGCACATCAACTGTGTGTCACAAACAGAACTCAGAAGACCCGTGAAGACGCCAACACAGTAAAAATATATATAAAAATTCTTTATTGAAAGCAGAGGTACCTGGAGGGCAAGGCTGAGGCAGGTTCAGAGGCAGGCTAAGGTCAAAGTGGCAGGCAGAGAGCAAGGCAGGGGTCAGGCAAAAAACAAGGTCCAGAGGCAAAGATAAGGCAGGGTGGATGGCTGGAGAACTACTGACAAGGCTGTAATAATCTGGCATCTGTTGACTGGATGGCTGGTTCTTTTATAGCAGGGGAAGCAGGTGAATGGGATGAGGCTGATTACAGGAGCAGGTGGAATGAATGGAGCTGATTGAAGCTGACAGGTTGCTGGGGAAAGCAGGGCTTGGCTGGAGCTTGGTGAGAGGAACCAGGTGAGCTGAATGAAGGTATAATGAGGAAGTGGAGGAGGGTGAAGGATGGGAGTCATGACACCGTGGCCCTTTTTCCGATTACATTTTGTCCACGTCAACGCCTTTTGGCCAGATTGAATCCTGCCTCACCTATGTATATAAATACATGAGAGATCTGGTTGGCCTCCAATTCCATAACTCTCTGAAACAAAGTTTATGCAAGTCACATCATTACTGTATAACATCCTGGACTGCAAAAGATCAAAGCTTACTGTATAGAAATGGACATTGAATTGAATATACACTATACCTGGACATGTAGTCATCGTAGCTCCATGACTGTCACTGTTCCTCTCAAATGGAACAGTGTAGAGCTGCTCCATCCACATTCTGTGTTTGGACAATGTCTGTGTAATGGTTGTCAAGCTGATGCTATCAATATTGTCAAATATCTCATGGTCCTCCACAATTCTAATCTGAATTTCATGCAGTTTTATGGCATTATTTGCAACAACCACTTCCACAATGGCAAGCTCTTGATCATTATTGAGGAGCTTTCCTCTTCCCCAGAGGGTGAAAGACGTTGCATTTTATAGAGGAAAAAAAATGCATTACCATATGGTCTTGTTTATACTTCAAGTAACAATAGAAGCAATCCATTATAAATGCAATACATAACTGTTGGTTTGTTGAAAGATGCGTATAATGGAGGCAACCATTGACCTCCTCAAATTGGGCTGCAATCTTTCACCAGCCTTAGTGAAAGACCATGGTTGATTGCATGGTCAATGATGGTGGCACGAATTTCATCACTCACTACTGTTCTTGCAACCCTTGGAATTCCACCACCACACATTCTTACGCCTCTACCTTGCCCTCTACTTGGGCCTGCTCCTCTCCTTGGGCCCCTTCCTCGTCCTCTTCCATGTCCAGACATTGCAGTGTTTTTCCTTTCTGTTTCTGTTTCCAAATACTTGACACCTGAAAGTCCTCCTTTTATTTTAGTGTCAATGCAATAGAAATAAATAACACCTGCCACTTAGTCTAAGCCTGAATGTAATCAGCTGTGGTAGGCCCAATTTACCCAACATACATCAGCTGTGTGTAAATTATTGTTATTAATTGTTTGTTTATTATCAACTGAGATATATTGTTTTTGAACTCATCATTTCAGAAGCAGAGGGTTTTATACTTTATTTAAGGTTAGGAATATTGTTTTTTGCTATTGTGGAATGTTGTGTGTTAACATTCGCAAATACTACAAAAGAAATCCATAGTTTTGTTGGGAGGAATAGCTTCTCTGTTAAGACAATGTAAGCATTACGGAAATCTGATGACTGACTGCATATTGTGTGAAAACAACATGGAATGTGTGAATTGTATGGCCACAAAACACCAATGCTGTACTACTTGTATTTAGAGTTTTGAAAATGTGACAGCTGGTTGGACAAATGCTTGTTAGCGACTGAAAAAAAAATTGTAAAAGCATTAACTTGCTGCCGTTGACATCAGAAGTGGAATCGTGAGGGAGGAGGCTAACTTATTGGCAGCATTTCATTTGGTAATCTTTTTTGTTGAAGAAAATGATGCTAAGGGCCCCGTTGCTTGTTTTTCTTCTAACTACAGCATAGATAAGATTTTTTTTTACCTTTTAAGCTGACAAGTTGTGGAAGTGACACCACTAACATCAGTGATGCTCTGAGGAAAGCAGCAGTGTTAGCTGAAACTTGTCAGCTTAAAGTAAAAAACAAATATTTACTACGCTGTGTTTAGAAAAACACCAGGAAAAAGGAAATTGATGGATTACACAGAACAAGCGTACAAAAGATGATGTTATGGACTGGTTTTTTATAGCATTGAGCATGCTGTTTGTGTTCAGATCCAGGATGTGGACATTAAACATAGCTAGGAGAAGATGAACCTGAACTCATCAAAGATTATTTGGTAAGTACATTTGTGTGTCTCTCTGCTCCTGACCTCGGGGCTGTTTTCACAAAGAGTTTTTCCCAAAAGACAGGCTTTGATTTTCCCAAATTTGCTAGCCTGAAGGTGCTCTCATTCACCATAGTAACACATGCTGGAGAACAAACCTGCTCCTTGGAATAACAGCAGCTAGGTTTGCTGAAGCTTGGTGAATGTGATTGGACAAGCCATATTACGCCACCTTTTTTCTTGTAGGTATGTATATATATATATATATATATATATATATATATATATATATATATATACATGCATATATATGTATATAAAGATGTGCAGGAAACAGAAGGAGAAGATATTCTTCATATATGTCAGTTATTGTTTAACTATGCCGAAGATAATAGCACAGGGTACCATTTGAAAGTGAAGGCTGCCCATATTAAATCTCTAACCCCCCATAGGACCTGCACTGATTTTGGTCACACAGAGGAAACAATGACAAAATGCCTTGACTCCGTGTCTTCTGCCATAACATTGTTCGATAAAGTGTTTTTGTAACTCTTGCAGAAGGTTTCACTAAATCTGCAGCCTCTGGCTTTCTCATTGTTAGACTGCTGCTTTTGTAGGGATTTTGTGACACTTACAGCAGAAGAAGAAATAAAAGTGCAGTGAGAACAATCCTTCAGTGTTTGGTTTTGGTGTTTAAGACAGATGAGTCGCAAAGTTCAACACCTTTTGATTATCAGGAAACACTTGAATGGTTGCCTTGGTTACTATGAGGAAACCCTGGCAACAGTTGTAACATTTGTGTGGACTGGTTCTCGTCACACTGATGCAGTTCATACAACATGATGTGGGATTTTAACACAAACTAATATGTAGTTTACCTTGTAGAACAAGGCTGACGTCTGTTATGGGATGTTCTTACTCCTGATGGATTCACCCTTTTTCCATAACCCCAATTTTCCAGACGCACACACAAATATTAGTATATTTATGTAGGTACTGGAAATAGTCTCCCCGCACACACACACAAACTTTTAGTATATTTTTGTAGGTACTAGAAATAGTCTCCCCACACACACACACACACACACACTCACACACTCACACACACACACACACACACACACACACACACACACACACACACACACACACACACACACACACACACACACACACACACACGCAAATTTTAGTATATTTTTGTAGGCACTAGAAATAGTCTTCCCCCCACACACACATTTTAGTATACTTTAGGTTTTAGAAATACCCCCCCACCCCCCCACCCACCCCCCACCCACACACACAGGAAATGAGGTTGTTGTCCACCAATCCAACCCCTTATATAAGGCCCTTTACCTCAGAATAACAGTGTGCCTGACCTGAGAGGAGCTGCCTTGTGATGTAAATATAAAGCAGTTGCAGAAACGCTGTTTGGGTTGCACTTGAAATCTATTCGGCTGTGTCCCACCTCTGAAAACGTGTGACGCAAAACTGCCCTCAGAGGTGTAACGTATGTGGCATGAAAGCCTGTCTAAAGTGGCTGCTAGCAAATGTGGGCCAACGTCAACCCAGGTCATCAGAGATACTACACAACCAGGGAAAAGTGGGACGGGACCTGTGTCTGGGTGAGCAGATAGCATTTACAGAGCCACAGCGCCTACAGAGGACATGTTTTTGTTGAATGCAGACGCTGAGGTAGCATCATCATCATCACATTTCTGTAGGTACCAGATGGTGCTGTCTCACTGAGTGCGTGGATGAGTAAGTAACACAGAAAACCGGAGGTGGGACAAAACCAAATTAATTAGACTTCTGGAAAGGCAACTATGAAATTGCTGTGATGAGTCAGGTACCCCTGGTGCTCCTGGTCACTGGGCAACCCAAGCTACAATACTACAGTACAATCACAGTACTATAAAGCTGCAGTCACTATTCCTAATTATTTCCTTCAGTTAGTTTCTCATGAATTTTCTACATTTGTGCACATAAAGACTTAATTAGAAAATAATTGACATGGACTATTTTTGAGTTTTAGAGCTGTGGTACTGGTCAGTGGTACCAGCACTCCGGCAATGTTTTTGTGATGATGATTTTTACAGACTCTTGGCCCATCACATTTCTTGCTGCCGATCTGAATCATGTGATTTAGAGAATCTGCCGATACCGAGTCCCAATCTGATCCTTCAGCAAAGCTTTAAAATAATAAGAAAAAGAGAACACATCCAGGTTCTTCTTTAAGTTATTAATATTTATTAATTTATTTGACTCTTGATTTATGTAATTTCCTTATTTTATCTGCCAAAAAGCTGTAGTGAGTAGTGCACATTCCCGCGATGGGGCAGGAATGCATCACCACAACCAGCAGGATCACATTTCTCTGCACAAAACCTGTACTTACCATGGCAGCACAGCTCCAGCCGACTGTCAAACGTTTTGCTGTTCATCTGCAAATTCTCTTTGTTAACCTGTCTTTCAGTGTCGGCTCTGTGTGAATGGGTGAATGACTGGTTGTGTTGTGAAGTGCTTTGGGGGGTTGTAGAACCCTACATGGCACTACACAAATACAGGCAATTTACCATTATTGCGATGAACTGGCAAACCTGGACTAAATGCAGACAGGTGACTCACAGTACATCCCACTAGTGGACATTCTGTCCATTGACATACATATATGGACAATGGGTTTCCATAGACTCCAATAACACGTTTTTGAAGAAAAATGGGAGATGGCCACCACCGCCATTTTGACTGTGTCACAGGTTCCGTCAAGCCCAGACAATTCCATAAAAGGGAAGAGAGGTGGAGCTGAGGGTGGGGCAGTAAGGCTGGGATCAACCGAAGGCACCCGGTCGAACTAGCTACAAGCTAACCTGGAGCTAAGCTAACAGAGGTAGCAACCTAGCTACAACCGGAGTTAACTGTGCACAACACCAGAGCTTCTGAGTCAGAGATACGCCGGGCTGACCGCTGGGTAAAACCGGGTGGAACACAGTGGTCTCCTGAGAGCTCCACAAGCCGGCGGCCGCACAGCAAACAAACACAGCTGCGATCTGAGATGCGCAGAACTGCCACTGGGGAGAACCGGGTGGTAAGGTTCCCATCCCAGAGCTCCACAAGCCGTCAGCCCGTGCAGCAGTCAGGAG